GACAAGGACCCCGTATATGACTACTTGTTGTACGTGACCAAAACGTGTCTTTAGAAACACGTCTTTCAAAGGCAGTCACATTATCAGTGTAAGTTTCAGAAATTACACACATATATTTTTCTCGGGCTGGGACTGGATGGAAATGTTCATGTATTCAACCCCTAAGAGAAGGACTGTCTGGTGGTTAGGGGCTGCACAAAAGCCACGGCCTGGGCCCGTGCTCCGCACCCGGAATCTTCTGGCGGGAGGGGATGGTCAGAGAAGTACTTACTCTCTGACCCAGAAGGCCTCTTCTGAGCATTGCCCAATGCTCCTGTTATACAACATGCAAAATAAATAACCAACCTTAAAAGTCAGGCGGCCAAAACTCTACTCAATAATAAGCCCTTTTACAAGCTGCTTATCACTTGCCAAAATCAGCTCCAGAGGAACACCAGGAACTCTGAATTCTATTGTTCTTATGAACTATTTGGGGAATATAGACAAGCTTCACTGGCTTTATTGGTTTTCTAAGAGACAAAAGACAAAGGTTTTCATCTACCCATACTCTGACCTTGATCTCAAGAATGCAAATACAGACAGCCCCATCCCACCATCTCAGCGAGGTCCCTATTACAAGTGTGAGTTAGAAAGGGGTCCTGATCTTTTCCTAGAAAACACGCCGCTCTCTGCTTTCCCTCTCACCTGATTGTTGGGGTGAGGAAGGGAAGATAAATGCCAACCTTTTCAGAAAATTCACTGGGAGGGAGCGAGAGGGCAGGACAGAGGCACCTGGAATGCGGTCTTCTGCCTGCGAGGGCTCTCTGGCTTAACTGCAAAAGGAAAGAGGAGTTTTGCTCGAGGAAAACTGTTCAAAACCATTTTTGGTACACTTAGGTTGGCCTGATGATACGTTGTTGTTGGCCCAGAATGGTTTCTCTAGGTTTCCAAATACACGGTGGAGCCTCTCGTTAAGGGGTCTTGTTAAAGAAATTGATGGGAGAAATCTGTTATAAAACTCATTTCTGATGAACCACAAAAGGGATTTTGATACCCATTTGGCATTCTTATTCCAGGATCCTCAACCCACAGATGCAAAGCTCAGGATGTACCTGCTCTAGAAAACCTTACTGCCCTCCCATTTCCCCTCATTGCTCCCTTCCTCTGCCAGGCTCTATACATACTGACTTGTTGCCTTCACTAGCTGAGAGGTTTTCTTAGAGCAGGAACCAAGCCGTACTCCCCTCTGCATCTCTATTGTCTAGCACAGTCCACGGAACGTGGTACGTGTTTATTAAATCATTTAATTAATGATAAGATTAACAATAAATATAGTTAATATCCAAATGTTCAGTAACCGTGTTTAACGTCCTATATTTTTTCTCATTTTCCAGATGAAGAAGCTGAGGCATTGAGGGGTTAAGAAGCTAATAAGTGGCTAAGCAATGACACAAACTAGGCCATCAGGCCCTAGAACCTTCATTCTTAACCGCTACATGGAGCAGTACACAGCAATAAATAAGCGAGCTGATGAAAGGGCTATACACATATGAAACCGTTAAACATGAAGCTGGTTTAGTCACACAAAAATGTGTTAGGCACCTAGCACTCTGTGCCAAGCCCAGTGCTAACATAAGGGCATCATCTTATTCCTCAAGGAGAAGAGAGACAAATAACGAAAGCTTATTGAGCACTTACTACATGCTGGGCACTGTTCTAAGTACTTCACACATATTCTTTCCTCTTTACAAAATCCCTATGAGGGCACTACTGCTACTATTATTTTATATTGAGATAAGACAGGTGAGAAACTGAGGCACAAGGAGATTAAGCAATTTGCAAGAAGCACTATTTAAACCCAAGCAGCCTAGCTCCAGAGCCCGTGCTCTTATCCACTACACTCTGCCGCCTTTTCTGTTTACAACCACACACAACTCAGTGTAACATGTGCGAGAAGAGAGAAAGAGAAAAAGTGGTATCGAAACTCAGGGAAGGAAATGGTTCGTTTTGCCTGCGACGGGGCTCACAGAAGGCTCTGCAGAACAAGTGACACTTGAGCTGGGCCTTGAAGACATGAGAATCGGAAACAAGTTCAAATAAAAACAGGACATGGAGCAGTAAAACTTGTATGTGTTTTCAAAGCCATCACCACTAACACACAGAGCTAGGAAGCAAGCATGGAGCGACAATGGCTTCTGAGGCCACTTCCTGCCAAGGAACAGGGATGTCATTCGCGGAACTGTGACCTGAATTTTTATGTCACTTTTCCCACTTGGTTCAAACTCTACCTAGGGTTTTGTCATGCTCACAGTATCTACAGAAATTTCTTTTCCTCTCCCTTCTCTAGATAATAAGAGATAATAATGTTTCCGGAAGCGGATCTACAGGCTGTCTTCAGTGTAACTGAGGCCAGATCCTTCAAGGTTGGCAAAGGAGGCTGGAATCACCCAGTGGACAAGGGGGATGGCTAGAGCTCATGGCCCCAGCCATTTCCACACGTGGAGATACTCTCCCTTTCCCTAACTGCAGAGGGTCTGAGTCCAGTTTTAGTAAAGGCTGCCCACGGGTTTCCTTAGAGTTTGTTCCAGTCAAACCTACTGGCAACTTCCCCTCCCTCAACATCTAGCTTCTCTGACGATTACTGGCTACTATGCCCAGAAATGCACGTGACTACGGACTAGTGAACTCCAACGACCAGTGAGTACTCCTGGGGCAAACGTTCCATTATTTCTCCCATTCTGAGTTTATTTTTGTGGATGGTGTGAGGGAGTGTTCTAACTTGATTGGTTTACATGTGGCTGTCCAGCTTTCCCAGCACCACTTGCTGAAGAGACTGTCTTTTCCCCATCGTATATTCTTGCCCCCCTTTGTCGTAGATTAATTGACCGTAGGTGCGTGGGTTTACCTCTGGGCTCTATTTCTCCCATTCTGATACCTTCTTTTGACCCCCTCTCCCACACACCATTCCAGTTACTGCCTCATCTCCCTCCTCTTCTTGACAGCAAAACTCTTCAAAAGATTTGTCTATATTCCCTGTGTACAATTTTTCTCTTCCCCTTCTCCCTTGAACCCACTCCAATCAAGCTTTTGTCCACTGAAAAGGCTTTTATCCGGGCCACTCCTGACCTCTATGTTGCTAGAGTCCACTGAATATTCTCGGTCCTCATCTTGCTCGGCCAACCAGAAGCACTTCTCACAGCTGATCATCCCCCCTTCCCAGAAGCACCTTCTTCACGTGGCTTCCGGGGCACCATTCTCTTCGGGTTTTCCTTCCATCTTCCTGGCCACTCCTTGTCAGTCTCCTTTGCAGGTTCCTCATTGTCTTCCAAACCTCTGGCTGTGGGAGTGCCCCAGGGCGGGGTCCATGGTCCCCTTCTCTTAACTATCCTCACTCCCAGTGATTTCATCCGTCTCACAGCTTTAAATACTATCTAGATGCCTATGACTCAAGAATGTTTATCTCCAGCCCTAACCATGCCTGTGAGTGCCAGGCTCATACATCCCACAGCTCACTCCTCATCTAAGTTAGACTTAGATGTCTAACTGGCATCTGAAATTCAACATATCCCAAAGTCAACTTCCAATATACTCCCAACCTTGTCTACCCACAGTCTTTATCACTGCAGTTAGTGGCAACTCCATCGTTCCAGCTGCTCAGGATGAAAACCTTGGCATCGTCTCGAACAGAAACACTGTGTTATACAACTCCAGAGGGCACGAGCCACATTTTATGCAATGCTATTGGTGTTATGTAACATGGTGACCCTGTTTTCCTTGATTCCTCATTCACATCCCACATCTGATCTGTTAGCAAATCCAATTGGCTCTACCTTCAAGATATACCCCCAAATCCAACAACTTCTCCCAAATTCCAGTTACCAGCCTGGCCCAAGCTTATCCCCTTAAACATAACGTATTATCCAAAAAACAAGAGTGATCCTTTTAAAACATGTCAGATCACACCATTCTTACTCAAAATCCCCCACTGCTTCCCATCTCACTCATAGTAAAAATCAAACTTCTTACAATGGCCTTCAAGACCTTGCATTATTTGTTCTTTTTAGCACTTATCCCTATCTAATATACTACATATTATTATCTATCTAACTTACTTATTATCTGTTGCCCACATATGAAATAAGCTCCATGAGGTCAGAGACTTGGTCGGTCTTGTTCACAGATGAAGCCTCAGCATCTATAACAATACCTGACACAAAGCATATGCTCAGTATATATCTGTAGAAGAAATAAAAGATTGGGAAGAGGGAAATCTTCACACATGGGCCAGAATCATACCAGAACCCAATATAACAAGTGAAATGGCATTTGGGTCAACTGGTACTGAGACCAAGTCAAGTCCCAAGAGACCTATGTGCAGTTCTTACTTCCTATTATTTGTTTTCCCATTGCTTTGATATTTTGCCTGATGAAGTCTCCTTTCTTTTGCCTCTAAAGAAAAAAAAAATTGACCTAGCTATAGTAAGGAGCTCCCCCTGGTGGGAGCAGCCCCATCAAAGGAATGGCAAAGAAAATCATAGAAAACAGGCTTTAAGTTACAAAGGAGATCGCTGGAGACAAAGGAGTGACTCCAGCATTTCACAGGAAAAGTCCTTACTAGAAACAAGAGAAACTAAAGATTAGATTCAAGGTACATGGGGGAACTTGTCAACTTATTTTACTGTTGAACATCTTTTGCATCTGATGATGAGAAAGAAAATAATTCATTTAAAGTTGAACAACCTAAGTACCTTCCCTCAAGGAATTTAAAATCTGGTAGAGGAGGTAAGTCATGAATACAAATAAGTACAGGGGCTTCCCTGGTGGTCCAGTGGTTAAGACTCCACGATTCCTCTACAGGAGGCACAGGTTCAATCCCTGGTCAGGGAACTAAGATCCCACATGCCACTCAGCCAAAGCAAACAAACAAACAAAATAAACAAATAAGTACAAAGCAATGAGTATAACTGTGAAAGAGTGAATGGGGGCTAAATAAAAGGAATAAACTAAGAGCTATGACTTACCTAGGAAAAAGAAGGATTACTTTAGGCTGAGTAAATCCAGGAAGACAACTTGGAGGAGGTGGTTCTTGAGCTGAGCCTTGAAAAACAGACAAATTTTTATTGAGCGTAAATGTAGGGAAGGGCACATCATGTGGAAACCCAAATTGACCAACGGGACCCTGTAGAGGTCACAATTTGAGTGACAACACAGAATTCAAACTCTTTCGTAAAAAGAGCAGAGAGGGATTCTCAAGAGAAAACTCCTTGGCAGAGGTAGACACAGGAGGGAACCAAAGAAAGCTCCTTTCCTTGTTTTCCCTTGGGTGAGAGGAACACTATTAAAAACTACAGAGGAGGGGCTTCCCTGGTGGCGCAGTGGTTGAGAGTCCGCCGGCCGATGCAGGGGACACGGGTTCGTGCCCCAGTCCGGGAAGATCCCACATGCCGCGGAGCGGCTGGGCCCGTGAGCCATGGCCACTGAGCCTGCGCGTCCGGAGCTTGTGCTCCGCAATGGGAGAGGCCACAACAGTGAGAGGCCCGCGTACCGCACAAAAAAAAAAAAAAAAAAACTATAGAGGAAAAAGAAGATAAAATACAATCTCCATGATAAATGGTCTAGCTTCCATACTAGAGGATTTAGAATCCACAAAACTAATGAAAAAGTCCACATAGACATGCAGGGTCTATTCTGTTCTATATTTTATCTGAAGGTAATGTGCAGAGAACATCCTTTTCAAATGAGGCTGGTCTCCCTTCTATTCCCTCCTGTGCAATGTCCTTCCTGTGGAGATGCCAAAATGCATGCTGAATCCATCCACCCCTCCCAATTTCCACTGCCATCCCCCTAGTCTGAGCCACCATCATCTCTCCCCTGGTCTAGTGCCACAGTCTCCTGACTGGTCCCCCCACTTATAGTCTGGCCCCTCTGTAAGCCACGCTGCACACGGCAGTCAGATCAACCTAGGGATATTTGGGGGTGAGGTAAATAACTCACGTTTCATTTTCTTTTTTTTAAATTTATTTTTATTTATTATTTATTTATTTTGCTGTGCCAGGTCTTAGTTGTGGCACGTGGCATCTTCATTGCTGCGTGTGGGATCTGTAGTTGAGGCAAGCGAACTCTTAGTTGTGGCCTGGGGGATCTAGTTCCCTGACCAGGGATCACACCCGGGCCCCCTGCATTGGAAGTGCAGAGTCTTAGCCACTGGACCACCAGGGAAGTCCCTCATGCTTCATTTTCAACTTTTCATTTTGGAAGTACAGACAATGAAAAAAGGGGCACAATAGCACAAAGAATTCTCATATACCTTTCACTCAGATTCTCCAAATGTTAACATCTTCCATAACCACAGTACAATATTATAAATCAGGAAATGAACATTCATACAACACTATAACCTAATCAACAGACTATCTGATTTTCTCCAGTTGCCCCAACACTGTCCTTTTTCTAGTCTAGGATCACACCTGTCTCCTTCAGCTCCTTTAATCTGGCAGAGTTCACTAGTCTTTCTTTCTTTTCTTTTCTTTTTTTTTTGGTCTTTCATTACCATGACACTTTTGAAAAATACGACTGGTTTCAATTTTGGGTTTGTCTGATGGTTCCTCGTGACTCAATTTAGATTATTTGTTTTGGCAAGAATACTACAGATGTGATGTTGTGTCCTTCTCAGTGCATCCTACCAAGAGGCACATGGTATCAGTTTGTTCCACAACTATTGATGTTAACTCTGATCATTTGGTTAATGTGGTGTCTGCCAGGTTTCTCCCCAGTGAAGTTACTATTTTGCCCTTTGTAACAAATAAGCATTTTGTGGGGAGATACTTTGAGACTATAAACACGTATACTGTTTTTCATCATACTTTTGTCCATTTTGTGGAGAAAAGGCAACCCTCTTGTGCTGTTGAGTGGGATTGGAAACTGGTGCAGCCACTATGGAAACAGTATGGAGGTGCCTTAAAAATTAAAAATAGAACTGCCATATGATCCAGCAATTTCACTTCTGGGTGTTTATGTGAAGAAAACAAAAACTCTAATTTGAAAAGATATATGCACGCCCATGTTCATTGCAGCATTTACAATAGCCAAGATATGGAAGCAGGGCTTCCCTGGTGGCGCAGTGGTTGAGAGTCCGCCTGCCGATGCAGGGGACATGCGTTCGTGCCCCGGTGCGGGAGGATACCACATGCCGCGGAGCGGCTAGGCCCGTAAGCCATGGCCTCTGAGCCTGTGTGTCCGGATCCTGTGCGTCCGGAGCCTGTGCTCCGCAATGGGAGAGGCCACAACAGTGAGAGGCCTGCATACCGCCAAAAAAAAAAAAAAAAGATATGGAAGCAATCTAAGTGTCCATCGACAGAAGAATGGATAAAGAAGATGTGGTGTATACAAAAACAGACACACACACACACACACACACACACACACACACACACACACTGGAGTGTTACTCAGCCATAAAAAAGAATGAAGTTCTGCCATTTGCAGCAACGTGGATGGACCTAGAGAATATTATGCTAAGTGAAATAAATCTGACAGAGAAAGACAAATACTGTATGATCTCACTTACGTGTAGAATCTAACAAACAAAATGAAAACAGACTCACAGATACAGAAAACAAACAGGTAGTTACCAAAGGGGAGGAGGGTGGTGGGAGCAAAACAGGAGACGGGAATAAAGAGGAACAAGCCTCCGGTTATAAAATAAATAAGTCACAGGGATGTAATATACAGCATAAGGAATATGGCCCGTAATATGTAATAACTTTGTATGGGAACAGATAGTTACTAGACTTATCATGGTGATCATTTCATAATGTATGCAAATGTCAAGTCACTCTACGGTACAACTGAAACTAACATAATATTGCATGTCAACTATATTTCAATTTAAGAAAAGAATTCCAATCTTGTAAGTAACTTAGAGTCATCTGAAATTGGGAATACTGACACATGCTAATAAATCTCAGAAGAGAATGAAGTTTATAGATTACAACATCAATTTATTAATTTAACAGTAAAGTGGGCATTCTTTCCCCACAGGCTTGCCTACTAAGACAGTTTTCTGGTGAGCCTAGAACAGGGATCCACAAACTCTTCCTTTTAAAGGGCCAGACAGTAAATTTTTTGATTTTGTGGGTCATATACTCACATCTGTCACAATTACTCAACTCTGCCACTGCGGGGCAAAAGCAATGATAGACAATAAGTAAACAAAGAAGTATGGCTGTGTTCCAATAAGACTTTATTTACAACAATAGACGTCAGGGTTTCTAGAGCCCTGGCCTAAAATAAGAATAAGAGGAGTAGTAGTTACATGATTCAAATGCTTGATCACATCAGGCTTTTGTAGCCTGATGTGTCCATCAATGGAGGAGATAAAACCTGTCTCCGCTATCAGATTAGACACGCTGCTTAGCTGGACACTGCCAACGTTTGCCTCTCTAGTCCTCCTTTTTAAATGCCAGCCACCCTTCAAAAATCCCACCCCATCCTAAAGCCTTGAGTGTAAGAAAGCTCTACTTACCAGTAAAACTCTCAGGGAAATGCCAGCAGCCTCAGTTTACATTCTGCGGCTATTTCACGGAGAAAACCTTGATCCTTTGTTACCTTCGGGGTGGGGCGGGGGGAAGAGCACCCTCCATTCTTACTTGTGTTCCCCTGGAAAAAAAGTGACAGATTTGGCAATATTAATACTTATAAGAGGCACTAGCGTGTAAGCTCCACGAAGAGAGAGATTACTTTTTAAATTAGAAAGAATCTCTTATTTTTACAAAAGCAGTGTATGTTTGTTCATTGTGGAAAATTAGAAAACAAAAATTAATAGAAACATTACATTTCTACCACCCAGAAATTACCACTGTTAACAGCTTAGTATATATCCTTCCAGATCTTTTTCTAAGTATATATAATATGTATATGTACTTCCTACCAAAATGAGGTAATGCGTGTGCATAATGCTTTTTCTCAACTAACGAGCTCCACCATTCCACGTTAAGAAGTTTTCATCTCATCTAAGACCCATCCATATTCATATCCGCTTACTTTTCCCCAAAATGTCCTATAAAACTAGTCTGTTCAAATTAAGATCCAACCTCAGATCACACATTGCAAGCTAAGTCTCTTTTCATTTAGAACAGTATCCTTTTTTCAGGACAGGAATTTTGTTTCCCAATGTATCCTCAATGCCTTTAACAGTTCTCGGTACACAGGAGTAGATCAAATATTTGCGTAATTAAGTAATTAATAAAACACTTAGGAGATGGGGGGCTTTCGCCCTCGAGCTTATCTCAACCACCCATACCCTTTATCTTCACTTTATAGATAATAAAAATCAAGGCCAGAGAAGTAAAGTGACTTCCCAAGGTCACCCAGCAAGTACATGACAATTTCTCGGTTTCTTCTGTTAAACCAGGAGTTGGCAAACTTTTTCTGTGAAGGACAGATAGTAAATATTTTAGGCTATATGGGCCAAGAAGCAAAATCGAGGATATTACGTAGGTACTTATATAATGACAGAAAAAAATTTCCATAAATTCTTTACTGATGAAACTCAAAATATAATAATAATTGATTATACGGTTTTGTAATACAGGTCTACTAATGAAAAAATGGAATTGAAGAATAATATTTTGTTTTATTGTGGTTGAAACTTAGTGTTCCCTATCATCAAACTGATTGTAAATGTTCATCTGAAAAAACATTCTTAGCTGCCAGGTCATAGTGTGCCAACCTCTGTCCTATACTATGCTGCTTGTCTGTGATTTGGCTTTTTCTTTGAAAGTCTGAATGAAAATAACATTCTTCCTAATTGACGGTTGTAATTGGGTTCTGGCTTATTGAAGTTATATGGTATGAAAATACCAATGAGGAAAACAACTCCTTGGCTGCTCCTTTAAAATGTATATCTTGTCTTACTTCCGTTACTCTGGTACCTAACTGTTGGTAATGACTGTCTTCTTTCATTTAAATGGTAAGGTAGGTTGCACTGTGACTGTGGCTTTCACGATTAACCATGTGATAATATTAAATGGGGCTGGGACTTCCCTGGTGGCGCAGTGGTTAAGAAACCGCCTGCCGGGCTTCCCTGGTGGCGCAGTGGTTGAGAGTCCGCCTGCCGATGCAGGGGACACGGGTTCGTGCCCCGGTCCGGGAAGATCCCACATGCCGCGGAGCGGCTGGGCCCGTGAGCCATGGCTGCTGAGCCTGCGCTCCACAACGGCAGAGGCCACAACAGTGAGAGGCCCGCGTACTGCAAAAAAAAAAAAAAGAATCCGCCTGCCAATGCAGGGGACACGTGTTCCAGCCCTGGTCCGGGAGGATCCCACATGCCACGGAGCAGCTAAGCCCCTGCGCCACAACTACTGAGCCTGCACTCTAGAGCCCGTAAGCCACAACTGCTGAGCCCGGGTGCCACAACTACTGAAGCCTGCGCGCCTAGAGCCCATGCTCCGCAACAAGAGAAGCCACTGCAGTGAGAAGCCCGTGCACTGCAATGAAGAGCAGCCCCCCCCGCTGCAACTGGAGAAAGCCCGCGCGAAGCATCGAAGACCCAATGCAGCCAAAAATAGATAAATACATAAATAAATAAATAAAAATATTAAATGGGGCTGACTAATTGAGAAATCACTGCAAGTGAGGATGGTGATTGTTTGGCCTATGTCAAGGTTGATAATTTTTCTTCTAAAATAAAAATATGCTATGCTATTTAAAGATATAGAGGTAAATATCCAAAGAGTTAAAAGAACAGAAACTATTGGTTTGGGGGAAGCAGGGAATGGGGAGGAAAGCTGGGGACTCCTCTTTTTAAAAATAACCAACCTTGTAGAAGTATTTGACTTTTTAAAACTATGTACATGTGTAATTTTGATAGAAATACACAAAAGAAAACCAAGGCACATTAAAGCGCCTTCTAGAAAAGGCCTTTTTAATACTTTCCTATACACAAAAACAAACTCAAAATGGCTTAAAGGCTTAAATATAAGATATGACACCATAAACTCCTAGAAGAGAACATAGGTAAAACATTTTCTGACATAAATCATAGCAATATTTTCATAATTCAGTCTCCCAAGGCAAAAGACATAAAAGCAAAAATAAACAAATGGGATCTAATCAAACTTACAAGCTTTTGCACAGCAAAGGAAACCATAACAAAACAAAAAAGACAATCTACGGACTGGGAGAAAATATTTGCAAACAAAGGATTAATTTCCAAAATACACAAACAGCTCATACAACTCAGTATCAAAAAAACAAACAACCCAATCAAAAAAATGGGCAGAAGACCTAAATAGACATTTCTCCAAAGAAGACATACAGATGGCCAACAGGCACATGAAAAGATGCTCCACATCGCTAATTATCAGAGAAACACAAATCAAAACTACAAAGAGCTATCACCTCACACCGGTCAGAATGGCCATCATCAAAAAATCTACAAATAATAAATGCTGGAGAGGGTGTGGAGAAAAGGGAACTCTCTTGCACTGTTGGTGGGAATGTAAATTGGTGCAGCCACTATGGAAAACAGTCTGGAGGTTCCTTTAAAAACTAAAACTAGATTTACCATATGATCCAGCAATCCCACTCCTGGGCATATATCTGGAAAAAAACATAATTCGAAAAGATACATGCACGTCAATGTTTATAGTAGCACTATTTACAATAGACAATAGCCAAGAAATGGAAGCAACCTAAATGTCCACCGACAGATGAATGGATAAAGAAGATGTGGTACATATATACAATGGAATATTACTCAGCCATAAGAAAGAATGAAACATTGCCATTTGCAGCAACATGAATGGACCTAGAGAATACCATACTAAGTGAAGTAAGTCAAACAGAGAAAGACAAATATTACATGATATCACATATATGAAATCTAAAAACAATGATACAAATGATACAAAACAGAAACAGACTCACAGACATAGAAAACAAGCTTATGGTTACCAAAGGGGAAAGTGAGGGGAGGGGTAAATTAGGAATATGGCATTAACAGATACATACTACTACCTATAAAATAGATAAACAATAAGGACTTACTGTATAGAGCAGGGAACTATATTCAGTATCTTGTAATAACCTATATTGGAAAAGAATTTGAAAAATATATAACTGAATCACCTTGCTGTACACCTGAAACTAACATAATATTGTAAATCAACTATACTTCAATTTAGAAAAGAATACTTTCCTCCATCCTCCCCCCCCCAGACTAGGTTAGGTGTCCCTCTTCTCTGCTCCCCAGAGCATCCCTTGCTCAGCTCCATCAGAACACTTAACACACTGTACTGTAATTATCTGTTTCTCTACCTGTCTCCCTGAAGGGACTATATATGAGCTCCTTGCAAGGAGGGACCATGTATTATTCATTTCAGCTCCTAGATTAAAATATTAAAATAGGTATCCATTAAAGTGAAGTGAAACTAGCTAAATACCACTCAGTCTGGGCAAATTAACATCACAATGAGATACCAAACAAAAAGACAAAACAAGTGTTGGTGAGTATGTGGAGAAATTGGAACCTTCATACATTTACCGACGGGAATATTAAATGGTACAGCCACTTTAGAAAACAGTCTGGATGTTCCTAAAGAAGTTAAACATGCAGTCACCTTATGACCCAGAAATCCCACTCCTAGACCAGGGAACAAGTGAACATGGTCCTTGCCCTTTCCAGTGTAGAGACAGAGAATGAACCCAAGCTTACAGGGCAGTGTGTTAAGTGTTATGACAGAGGTCTGCCAAGGGCACTATGGCAGCACCTGAGCAGGGCAGTGAAATCAAGAGAATTGAAAACATATGTCCTCACAAATGTTCACAATAGGATTACCCATGATAACCAAAAAGTGGAAATAAATGTCCATCAACCGATAGATGGATAAATAAATGTGGTATACCCATTCCATGGAATGTTATTCCGCCATGCACACATATATACAATGGAATATTACTCAGCCATAAAAAGAAACGAAATTGAGCTATTTGTAATGAGGTGGATGGACCTGGAGTCTGTCATACAGAGTGAAGTAAGTCAGAAAGAGAGAGACAGGTACCGTATGCTAACACATACATATGGAATTTAAGGAAAAAAATGTCATGAAGAACCTAGGGGTAAGACAGGAATAAAGACACAGACCTACTAGAGAATGGACTTGAGGATATGGGGAGGGGGAAGGGTAAGCTGTGATGAGGCGAGAGAGTGTGGCATGGACATATATACACTACCAAACATAAGATAGATAGCTAGTGGGAGGCAGCCGCATAGCACAGGGAGATCATCTCGGTGCTTTGTGACCACCTGGAGGGGTGGGATAGGGAGGGTGGGAGGGAGGGAGATGCAGGAGGTAGGAGATATGGGAACATAATGTATACGTATAACTGATTCACTTTGTTATAAAGCAGAAACTAACACCATTGTAAAGCAATTATACTCCAATAAAGATGTAAAAAAAAAAAAGCAATGAGGTACTGATACATGCTACAGCATGGATGAACCTGGAAAACATCATGCTGAGTGAAAGAAGCCATTCACAAAAGACCACATATTGTAAAATTCCATTCACATGAACTGTTCAGAAAAAGCAACTATAGAGACACAGGGCAGTTACATGGTTGCTTAGGACTAGAGGTAGGAGGAGAGATTAACTACAGTCTTTTGGGAATTTGGGGAGGGGTGATAAAAATGCTCTAAAACTGGATTCTGGTGATGGTTACACAACTCCATAAGTTTAGTAAAAACAAGTGTACATGTAAAATGATTGGATTTAATGGTATGCAAAGTATAAAGGCTCTTTTTAAAAAAAAATCCCTCAATCTATTACATTATTTAGTTTCTCTCTAAATTAACTTTTTTCCTCCATGACAAGACCTGGTAAGAACTGTGGTAAATGAAGTTTCTGAGGCAGTTTTGTCGGTTGGGGTTTGGGGCTGTGCTGACAGAAACATCAAAGTCAGCCTCTCTGAATATTGCGTGATGAGGTGTACAATGCGTTTCCGGTTGGGTGATCCCAGTGTGTAATCTGGACAATCTGTGGTCTGCCAGTTTAAGTGTGAGTGCGCCAGGCCCCTACTCCAAGCAATAAACTGTAGTCAGGTAACAAATTCACTTCTTGAAACTCTCAAGCCTTGTTCACAACCAGGTGAATTATTCTATTACAGCATATCTGTGAAAATGTTAGTGGTTTTTGCTTGTGTGTTTGGGTATTTTTTTTGGCAATTTGGTCAGTGCTTACTAGGCAAGGATGTCCTGCCAGAACAGCTGATAGATACTAACTCCTCCCCTCCAGACCCGCCCCACTGGATACTCCAGAGGAAAGCACACCTATCTAAGGGCGATGGGGGACGTGCCAGGGGATGGAACAGCACCTCTCCGAGCTAGGGGAAAGGCTGGGACCGAGTCCCTCCTTCTTTGCGTTGCGGAATGGGCAAAAACTGCCACAAAGTAAGGGTGAGGTGTCTCCTCCCAGGGCCTCCTGGTGCCCGGGAAACTCACGCGTCTTCTTGCAGGGTCGCCAGGAGGTTACAGATAATTGCGCCCAGACCTCAGTCGCTTTCGCCGCTACAGTTCCACCGTGTGGTCCGCGCACAGCGAAAGAAGGCGATGAAGACAAGCAGCCTGAGCAGGCTTGCAGCCGTCCGGAGTTCCAAGCCGCGGTCCCCTACGCCCCAGCGCTCGGCTCCCTGACCACGTGACCGCCACCCCTCCCCGCACGCGCGATTATGTCTTGGCGCCCCCTGGTAGCCGGAAGCGGGCAAAACCGGCGCTGTTATCACCAGCTAGTCGGAGCATGCGTGGACTGGCGAGTGGCTTCCGGTCCGCGGGGCAGCCCAGGCAGAGGCGGAGGCATCTGCGGCGGAAGTGGCCGCGCCGCTGGCCCAGGGCGAAGCCGCGATTCCGAGGGCAGCTGACCCAGATCCAAAGTGGAGTAGGTGGAGGCGGCCTCCACCCCTTCCTCCTTTCTCCCCAAAGGGAGAAGGACCCCAAAGAGGACAGAATGGTCAAATAATTATCTCGAACCTGGATGCCAGCTCCCTTCTGCAAAAACGGAACAGAATAAGGAAGCTTTGTTGAAGATGGTTTTTGTTGACGTTCCGAAAAAATGCATTTGTAGCCGCATCGATATGAGCTAATTATTACCTCCCTGAGCCTCAGTTTCCTCCTCTTATAAAATAGGGATAATAATAGTACCAACTTCACAAGGTGTTTGTGAGGATTAAATAAAATAATCCACCCAAAGGGTTTACCAGACTGTTAAAGCTAGCCATTTAGTTGTTTCTCAGGATAAGAGTATTATCTTTCCTCGAGATTCAGAGAAACGAAAGGATTTTGACACTACCAAACAAACGCATACCTAAGGTGAATTATTCATAAAAATGTTTTGTATATGAGGAAACAGTCCATCCGCACACTCAGCCTGGACACAGAAACAAAAGCACGCCATACTATGTACATAAATGTGTCTTGCTAGTCCACTGTCTTCGCTGGCATTACTTTTCCAGGACTCCTCTGTCCAGGCAAATAGTTTCTTCACTACAGCAACGTCCCCAAAGATCCATCAACTCTTCAATGGAAAGCAGCAACAGTTTGCTCTCTGAAATTCTTTAAGTCCCTCTCCTCAAAATCCTCCCCTTGCAGCTTCCACCAGTCCCAGACTGTTGGTATCATGATCCTTACCCAATCCTAATCAAGCCCCAGAGCTGAAAGACCCTCTGCCTTAAACCATGCTTTCATTTCTCAATAAATTCTGCCCTTTCCTTCCTCCCTGAAACACTGGCAAAGCTTTGCGAGGTGAGGGTTCTCCCTTACAGAGGTAAGTGATAAATTCAGCATTGTCCTATCAACAGGTGCATTGGTGATATTTGGGGAGCCAGCACTTGACGGTTTTGAAGTCCCCACTGACATCCAGTGCCCCTGAGACCTCAGCACCACAGCTCAAGACCTTCAACTTGGAAACAGTGTGCTCCTCCCGCCTCTTGGACCTCCAGCTTGGGGCTCTCTGACCACAATGGTAAGGTACGTAGGTTTCACATTGGTTAGAGCTCTGATCCCTTGGAGCTCCCAGTTGCTGAGGATACTAGTCCTACAGCCTGCACATGACCCCCTGTGAGAAGCCTGACCCCGCGGATTATAGGGCCCTCCTCTGTGTTCTGACTGTCCCCTGGCTCACCCCTGCCGTGGCTCTCACCACTCTTGTTTTATTCTGATGAGCTACTGCACTTAATAGTAAGCCAAGTGGGGCAGAGGATCCCTGCATTGTAATTGTGAGGTCAGCCTGTGATGTGGCTGGGGCCTGGGTGATTTTATGACAATGTCTTCCTCTACATCCACCACGCTCACCCACCATCCTCTAGCTGAGCTTCAGTTCTCTCCTTTCATTCGTATCTTCTAATGGTAAAAAGAGTTTTATCATTTTCTTTTCCTAAGCCTTTCAGATTTTACATTAACGTCCCTCATTTTATTTTCAGAAACGTTTCCACCAATTCTTTTGCTTTGTCTATGAAAATAATCATACTTACTACAATTAATGATCATTATTTGTCAGCCAGTAACAGCACAGTGTTTATTTCTTGTATTTGGCGGGGGGGGGGGTGTTTTTATATTTGCTCAGGCTTTACCACCCCCTTACTTCTCTTTTTGCCAATCTTTATTTTCTACTTTTGAAATTATTGCACTTATTAACAGAAAAAGAACAAAATTTACTCAATAAATTGTACATATATCTACACCCACAAAGTTAGAAAAAGGATTTAAAAGAAATATGCCACAATGTTCAGTATTCACCTATGGTTTATTTTTTCTTCCTGTATACTTTTATGGCTATTTAAATATTAACCATGTAAAATATTTTGTATAGTTTTGTGACATTCTAAATACTTTTATAACAACTCTAAAATTATTTGGTGAATAAAATAGTTTTACCAAGCATTCTGGCAGACAGAGAAAGAAAAAGTTTATGTGTCATTTCTTGAGTTTCAGAGATCAGTGATACTGAAGACATTCTATTTTCAATTATGTTTCCCTGAGCTAAATTAGATCTTGGTCCATTCAGGATATTTAAAATCAACCTCCATCATGTTCCCTCTAGTAAAATTTAAGTTCTTTTACTTACAGATTTTCAAACAGCTTTAACCTGTGCTTGATGAACAGGAAATTGATCAGATGTTCATATCTGCCTGGTACCCCCGCCCCAATAACTGATCTTCCACTGTGATACAGTTTTTCTCATTAATGTCAACACTTCTACTTCAGATATATGATGGAAAGTTCATAGGCTTTGGTGCCAGACTTACCATCTGTTTACTGGCATATGACACCTTAATCCTGTTGCTGTCTCTTGCTGAGACCCATTTATCGCCTCTAAAATGGGGTTAATAATTCTTACTATATTATTGACATGTTCAACACATAGCGAATGAAAATAATATTCATTATTTTACTCTTTTTTTACATCTTAGGTTATTTATTTATTATGCATGCAAGTCTTACATATTTTTATTGAAGTATAGTTGATTTACAATATTGTGTTAGTTTCAAGTGTACAGCAAAGTGACTCAGTTACATATATATTTTTCAGATTATTTTCCATTATAGGTTATCACAAGATATTGAATATAGTTCCCTGTGTTACACAGTAAATCCTTGTTGCTTATCTATTTTATGTGTAGTAGTTTGTATCTGTTGATCCCATACTCCTAATTTATTCCTCCCCCCTCCCTTTCCCCTTTGGTAACCATAAGTTTGTTTTTATGTCGGTGAGTCTGTTTCCGTTTTGTAAATAAGTACTATTTGTACTATTTTTTAGATTCCACATATAAGTGATATCGTGTAGTATTTGTCTTTGTCTGACCTCACTTCGTATGATATTCTCTAGGTCCATCCATGTTGCTGCAAATGGCAATATTTCATCTGTTTTTATGGCTGAGTAATATCCCATTGTATGTGTATATATATACCACATCTTCTTAAATCAGTCATCTGTTGATGGGCACTTGGGTTGTTTCCATGTCTTGACTATTGTAAACAGTGCTACTATAAACATTGGGGTGCATGTATCTTTTTGAATTAGAGTTTTCCTCTTTTCTGGATACATGCCCAGGAGTGGGATTGCTGGATCATATGGTAGCTCTATTTTGAGTTTTTTAAGGAACCTCCATACCGTTTTCCATAGTGGCTGCACCACATAATTATTATTCTTAATTATCCTTTAATAAAAGGGAAAGAGCAAACACTACCCAAAACATTCATATTTTACAGGGCAGTTATCTTTAATATTTACAAATGCACATGGAGTGATTGGGACTTTGAAACACCTAAACCTAAGGTCTGATGATGTGACATGTATGTAGCCACAAAGAAACCCATCTCTCACTTTCTGCCATGCTAGGAGTGAATGGTCCAACTAATAAGTGACAACCTGGGAGAGTGAGAAACAAGCAATTGATCTAGAAAGTCTCCCAGGTTTCTGATCTCAACTAGATGGGTGGTGGTTCAGCAGTGTACACTGTTCTCTCCTTGACTGACTCCCCTCCAGTAAAATTTGTTCCAGGAAAGGAGCAATAATAAAGGTTGCCATTCGCTGAGTACCTACTGTGTGACAGGCACTTCATTCATTCTAGCCACAAACATTTATTGAGATCCAGCTTATGTTCCAGGCAGTGTTCTAGGAGCTGAGGATACACCAGTGAACTAAGCAGACTAAAATGTTTATAGTCTAGTGGGGAGAGGCGGGAATAAACGATTAACATAATAAATCAGTAAATTATGTAGTATGCTAGAAGAGAGGCATGTGATGGGCAAACAGCAGGGAAAGGGAAATGAGAATGCTGGTCCAGGTGTGCAGTTCTATTTATTTTTTTTAATTGAAGTATAGTTGATTTACAGTGTTGTGTTAATTTCTGCTGCACAGCAAAGTGATTCAGTTATATACAATTCTTTTTTATATATTCTTTTCCATTATGGTTTATCAAAGGATACTAAATATAGTTCCCTGGGCTATACATTAGGACCTTGTTGTTGATCCATTCCATATATAATAGCTTACATCTGCTAACCCCAACCTCCCACTCCATCCCTCCCCAAACACCTCCCTCTTGGCAACCATCAGTCTGTTCTCTATGTCCATGCATCTCTTTCTGTTTCATAGATAGGTTCATTTGTGTCATATTTAGATTCCACATATAAGTGATATCATATGGTATTTGTCTTTCTCTTTCTGACTTACTTCACTTAGTATGATAATCTCTAGTTGTATCCATGTTGCTTCAAATGGCAATATTTAATTCTTTTTTATGACTGAGTAATATTTCACTGTATATATATTACCACATCTTCTTTATCCATTCATCATCATGTCGATGAACATTTAGGTTGTTTCCATGTCTTGGCTATTGGATTAGAGTTTTGTCTGGATATATGCCCAGGAGTGGGATTGCTGGATCATATGGTAATTCTATTTTTAGTTTTCTGAGGAAGCTTCATACTGTTTTCCATAGTGGCTGTACCAACTCACATTCCCACCAACAATGTAGGAGGGTTCCCTTTTTGCCACACTCTCTCCAGCATTTGTTATTTGTAGATTTTTTAATGATGACCATTCTGAGTGGTGTGAGGTGGTACCTCACTGTAGTTTTGATTTGCATTTCTCTAATGATTAGTGATGTTGAGCAGCTTTTCATGCGCCTATTGGCCATTTGTATTTTTTTTTTTTTGGAGA